CCTTATTGTGCTCATATAATAGTGGGGCTGACGAAGCTTAGTCTACACCAAAAAGTGTTTGTTGAAAGTAGCCGAGTGGCGATGTCAGAAATAGTATTTCTAAAGTCGTGTCAGAAAGTCCTATCGTAAAGCAAAAGATGGTGTTGGCAAGAAGAAGGGGGTATTTATCTCACTATGCTAGTATGTCAAAATCATGCCAGTGGAATCTGCGCAGACCTCATATTTGTTTAGGCATTGGATGCAACGTTGGGAGGCATGGATGGCTGGTGAGAAAGACTGGGACTGATGAAGAGAAATGAAAGGAGGCTTTCGGGGTGGAGAAGAACACGGGGAATAGAGATGTGTTTATGGTTTCATTCTGTGGAGTGCACTGTTGGCAGCCAGGTTATCTTTGAGACTCGAGGGTTCCTTGCAGCACACGTGCCAGCCAGCAAAGCAAGATGTTGGCACGGTGCCCACCTGGACCCAGCGTGCTCTTGTAACCAGTGCTGACAAAGCGTGGACCACAGACAGAGAGAGAGAGAGACACCCAAAAAGAAAGGAGATTTGTCAGAGAACAGCGGTGCACAGTGAGTCTACAGGGCCGAAACCTGTTGATTTAGCTTTCTTTGAAGGCAGACCACAATGCGTGCACACCTGATAGAAGCATATTCAAACACACCTGTGCACACTTTCACTAGATTTTTTTTTTTCTTGCTTCTACCACAAGCCCTTCCTTCATCTCAGTTTTCTTTCCTCGTTTTCTAGGCCCAACTCCCTGCTCCTCTGGGTTCTCACACGTCCACGCTAAGGTGAGCGGGGCAGATGAAAAGCAGAGGTAATTAGGGAAGCTTTGAGTGTGACTTTATGACTTTATGAGGCTTTGAGCTTCTCCCTCTCTCCTCCCTCCTTCCCTTTGTTCTTTCCACTTTCCCCCAGTGAGCCCGAGTTCTCCACACTCTGAGGGAAAATGCATCCTGCCTCATGTGTCATGTCTGCACAGGAGACGAGAACGGCATAGTTTCAGCGCAAATATGCTAAGGTTACACACATCGACACACTCCAATACGCAATGTATTTGCCGCACTATTAAGTCCATAAACACGTTTCCCCCTCCGCCCTGAATGATTAAATGAGACGTGTAGGGATGGATTCCGGATATCCTCCCTAATTTGAGCATGAGCTCATGGTGCCGCGCAATGTCATCTCGTGTCCAAGCACCAGCCTCTAGAGCAATAACCCTGTCGGTCAAAACATCTGCAGAGAAAAATACACACAGACATGAAGTGAGGGAACAAAAATGATGATGTGAGAGAGGTCGGGCTCAAAAGATCACAGGCAAAACAAGTGAGAGAACTTCCAGGCAAATGCAGAGATCGCAATGAAGATAGCGGGACCCTGTATCTTATAATAAAAAAGAATGTAGATAGAGCAGAAGTGATTCATCGTTCCTGCCACTTGCACGCACATATACAGACGCGCACCGGTTGTACACATTTAGACGTGCCAACACAAACTGAAAAAAAGGAGCACATAAATCATCGCTTTTTAATAAACGAGACAGTTGCCCTTACAAAGCCTGTCTTGTGTGAGCCACCCAGGATGATTCAGACAGTCAAAAGAATTTCACGAACAATTCCATCAAAGAGTAAGGCTTAAAGCTAAATATCCTTGTCTCTCTGTCAATACTTGGAGGGGAAATGAGAGAGCGAGAGCAAGAGAGAGAGTCTCCGAGGACAGGGGGGTCTGGAGAGTTCCTGGATGATGAAACAAGGATCAGCTAATTATGTCAACTCAGTGAGCAAAGGCACCCTTTTTGCCGTGGCCTCTTTTTCTGTCTGTCTGACTGTCGCTCTTTCTCAAATGACCTCCTTGTCCCTGCGCTGAAGGGCACAGAAAGTTTTAAATGCGCTGCCCTTTTATCGATGATGGAGAGCTATTTAGGCCAGGAGAGTATATTTCTCCGAAAAGTATTTGTCAACTTCTCTGAGGACTATTTGAGCCTTGAGGTGGTCACGGTGCCTAGTGAGGGTGGTAAATATTGTACATGCTAACGTGTCTTTGCCGCATATGCACGCACACGGTCATCAAGATGCACATGTACAAAATTTTCAAACACCCCTGTCGCAAACACACAAACACAGATGTCGCGGCCTTTAGCTGTGGGCCAGGTCCTCCTCATATCAGTGACACTAGTGATCAAAAGTGTCAGCATTTTCATGACATCTGCTTCCCAGCAGTGTGACTATATACCCAGATACTTACTCTCTTGCTCATCATTCCCACCTGTCGTTCACTTTCTCTCTCACACACACACACACACACACACACAAATCCAATACCCTGTTCAGCTATTTGCCAGCAAGAGTTTGCTACAATCTGGAACAAGTGATTTGTGAAGGCTCGCCAGAACCAACTGAAAAGCAAGACCCTAAAGCACAATTTAACCATTAAACAAGGCACACAAACATATTCTCGTGGCCGATCCATCTGTTTGACTTTCTCTCAGCCAATCAGGAGGTCACAGAGAGGTTTCCAGGAAGTCAGATCACGCCAGATCTGATTGGCCAGAACAGACTGACAGGCCAAAGCCCTTGATGGCAGCTCTAAGCTGGCACAGCTTAGACTGGGCTCTGTGGTTGACACCTACCCACCATCAGGCCCCAAAGCTCATTACCTATCAACTATGACATGGATTAGGAGAGTCTATCTGTGATAGGGTTGAGAGGGGGGAGACCAGAGGGGCTGGCCTGCATCTGTGAGTGGTGTGGTGGGGAAGCTGAATGGTAGGAAGACAGAAAGAGAAAAAGGAGATTCTGAGGCGGAAGGAGGTCGCTATGTAAAAACATGTCACCCTGCTTGTGGGATTTAGGGTTTGGCAGCTGGAAGGGTAAAATGAGAACAATATCTGGAGAATCCCAAAAAGGATTATTGGTACTGGTTCACTGGAAACATGTTTGCAGCAAACAATCAACCCCAGTTGGAAAAAAAGCTCAGCATGGTTTGTGTTTGAAGGGTCATATTCCTGACATGGCAACTCCCACATATGACAAAGCACAGGAGGATATTTAAGGCTGTCAAAACAAAGGCAGTCCAGCAAAAGCACACGTACATGCAACACACATCATCTCCTTTCCAATGGGCATGTCCTTTTGGCTAATCTTTCCAATCAGCAGGAGAGAGAGCTGAGTTCAAATGCTACGAACCGCAGCATAAGAAGAAAACGCACACAGACAGTGGATTTGTCGCAAGATTTAAAGTGTGATTGACAGACAAATGGAAAACTGCACAGAATATTGAGTCCACATCATGAAATAATTATCAAGCGAACACAGCAGCGCTTTTAGCCTGCAGACAACTGGCTCCGTGGTGAACTGCTGGTACAACTGGATAGATAGAGTGCAAACAAAAAAAAGGAGCAGGAGAGGAAAGCCACCCACAAACAACTCTCTGCACTCCGGCGTGTGAATAGCAGTACCAATGTTATCGGCCAAAGTCATATTCTCATTACTTCATGTGGTATATGAGCCACTTGCTACTTCACATTCCACTCGAGGCACTCAGACAGCACAGAGACTGTCCTTAGAAGGCCTTGAAAATTGAGGGCCAGTGACATAATCATTTTCGGCACCATCATACCCCAGTTTCTATTGTTATTCCATTGTTATTTTCCATCTTGGCCTTTTCTGGAGATGTGGAACACCTGATCTTATTTCTTCAGACAGGCTCAGACATGAGGTAAGAAGGGAAGGATCTCAATGATGATGAAAAGAACAAACACCAGGAACACTGTTCAAACACAGTCAAGTGTCCTATTTTAGAAAAAAAAAAAATGAAGACTGCACTCTTTTAATACCTTTTTCAGTAATGTGCATATAATATGGAGTGGAATTTCATATGTCAGCTCTGTTGCAGTGCAAGGAACATTGTGTGACACTAATATATCCTGTTCGCTTGACATTTACAAGTTGACAGTAACAATTTTCACGACAGCAGTGGTTGAAAATCAATTCTCCATGACTGTTCCCGAAACAGTTTCGTTCTTTATTACATCATTTGTTCACATAATATATGAGTTTTCCATATTGAACAGTAGTGTTCTTGCTGGTGTCATAAATAAAAATTTGGACAACGTCACGTTACAGCAGCCCATTGTCTTATAAAGCGAATTACATGGTACTGAAATTCCTCCGACACTAAAAACATCCAAAGCATCTCGTCTGCCCCGTGGGATTGCGCTGGAGGTTTTGGGAAGGGAAAACATGGTCTGTTTCGGAAATGTTTAAACCTAAATGACACTGCATTTAGAGAAAGAGGGAGGACGAGGTTGGTCAACTCGTCGCACTGCTCGATTCAGCTGCGTGTAGCGTTCAGGCCCTTTGACAAGCCACGCTCGGCCAAACCACGCTGTATTTGTGGAGCAGAGTTTTGTTTTTCCACAAGTCAGACATCTGAACTGTCCTGGCTGACATTACAACCAAAAATATACCAATAAATAAACAGCAAACAAACAAACTGAAATAATTGCACAGACTTTTTCACCCTCCAGAACTACTGTCATTTCTTCAAGGCTTCCAGTAATTGTCTGGCTGTCTCGAGAGCTGGGATCATATAATAAAAAAGCAGCATCTTCCACAAAACACTAGAGGTTAAGAAAAAGGCTTCTTTTCCCGTCTACCCTCAGTGATCTTTCTCCACAATTCTGTTGTTGCCAAACCCACAAGAGAAAGGAGGGGGGGCATGCTCATTTTGTGAGTAGCAATTGCCTCCACATCCATGATCTTGAAAAACTGCCTTTTGTTTCATCAAATGCTACAATAAATAAAAATAGATCTGTTCTTTATTGCTGAATTGACAGAGTTAACCCCTTTGGGTTGTCAGTCTCATGCAGTAACAGGAACAGTACATAGCAGGATAGCTAAATGGCTAAATGAATCACAGTATCTCTTTATTAGTCAACTCCAACAACCCAGAGCCGATCCCATCCAATCCCAGTTGGACAATATTGTCTAAAAACTTACCCTGGAAGGCATCCGAGTGGCCGGAGATGAGATGCTCGAGCTCATAGCTGTAGGAGTGAATGTTGTGGAGGGTTTCTCGCTTTACAGCAAACTGGTAGCTCTCCTCCATCTTTCTGGTGCAACATGACGGACCCTGGTGCTTACAAACCAACAGATCCACATCTAGGAAAGTCAAGCAGAAACACACAGAGGTTTCCTTTTAATTATTTTTTTTAATTAACATGTAGAACTTATACTTTTTTTTTTTCCTTTCAGGGTACTGTTAACACAAAAAAACATATCACCAAAAATGGAAGCACTTTCACAGTAAGGCATGTCTGTTTGGGTAAGAACTTATAAGTGCAACAACAAAGAATAAAAATGTCTAACATCCTGGGAGGCTTTCACAGTTGTATTGCAAAGTTTGGACATCCAACAACCCCTTGGTGTACATACAAAGCATCAGGAGTTCTGCATTGTTATCACGAGTTAGGCCAGTAAAGAACAAAAAAACACAGTCATTGCTGATCGCTGCGCAATGCATGCCAGTTAGATTTCTGTCCGACTTGACACCGACTTGTGTTGACATGGTGCACCGCAGTTAGATACCCAACGACTGCGTAATCTCAGGGCATGATGAGAAATGTGCCAGTCTGATCTCACAGCTGATTGGTTCAGACGTTGGACCAATAATTACATTTTCTAAAAACTGCTTTTTTTTTGTTTAAACATGCTGTGAATGCAAGACAGTCTTTTCCAAACTTGTGCAATGGATCTGCAAGCAACAGTGGGCGAAAATTGGGAAAAGAAACTTCCTACGAAGCTTTTGTAAACTGTCATATTTGCCAAAGCATGAAGTTTTGCAATTACGAATATTGTTTCTTTTGTTTTAGGTTCTTTAAAAAGAAAACACATTACGGTGCTAAAGTGTTATTTTTTCATGCCAATTTGTGCAGGGCTTTTTTGTGTTTTTGGTTCAAAAGCCAGCAAAACATGTCAAACAGTATCAAACTTTCCATACAACTGTATATGATTCTACACTGTGCATGTATGAGTGAGTGTATGTATAGTGTCCTGCGCATGCATATAGATAGACAAGCCATAACTCCACTGAGAGACAGAAGAGGCACCATGGGAAGGTGAGAAAGTAGACCAAGAATTCATCCACGTTTCCTGCTATAAATACTGTCTCTGCTAAATATATATCTTTGCCTCAGTTTTATACAATTGCGCATGTCGTCAAGACACACATTTGGACATGCGAGTGCAACATGTGTCCCATAAAACAAACAAAAAAATATATGCTTTCAGTTGAATTTTGCAAACATGCACACAAAATGCACAGACAGTAATTTGTGTGAAATCACCTATACAGTTTGTAACAACCACATGGAGACAATGACCTAACTGCAAAAAGGTGTGATCCAAAGAGCAGCGCAGTCACGCAGTTACATCAGCTGAAACCTAGTCCTGCTACTGCTGGTGTCACCTGCTTCTCACCATCTCCACATACAGCACATAAACACTGTCATGACATCACAAGCTGCTCAAAATTAGCACGGGCTATTCAAACTGTCTTTTTTCCCCACACATTTATTCCAACAAACACAGGGTCATTTCCATAATGCACAAGTCTGATATGATAACTCATTTTACTTGGGGGGAAGGGCTGGACGGGGGTGGCTGGAGGCAGGTGTTGTAACCAGAGCCTAAAGCATGGCCTTAGGACAGACCGCAAGACCAGTGCCTCACTGTCCAAATCCCTCCATGAAACACAATAGGGTTGCATTCTGAATCCCTCTTTCCCTTTCTGCTCCCTCTCTCCCATTTGCCTGGCATATCCTTGTGAGGCCTGGGTGTCTCTTAATTACCCAGTGAGGCTCCATTTGTTCCCATCCCAGAGCCAGATGAGTGAAGTCATAACTGGCTGTCCTGCCCCTTCCAGCTCATTATCTCCATCTCTGGAGCAGCACTCTTTTTATGTTGACACTATTTCCCTGTCGACGCTGTTGCTGCAAAATCTTGTGCTGTTTTTTTTTTCCCCCCAATGTGTAAAGGAATCATTCCGCTTATTAATTACCTGCAACGTTGCTGCATAAGAGCTCAAGATTTTTATTTTCCATGTTTTCGATCACAGACACAAGAACAAGAGAGGAGGCCTACTGACAGTCATCTATCTCCTCCTTGGGCTGCATGCCACAACCTTTTAAAATGGATCTCTTATAAGACTACTTGGTGAAAGCAGCTCCAACCATCCATATGCTTTAGATTTTCCCCGACCGTAAACAGAACATGTTTGACAATCATTTAATAAATTTAATAGTCTACACACAGTTGGAACCAATGTCGACATTTCAAAACAAAAACAAATCCATGAAACGCGCCATCAAGGTCAACCGGTTTACAAGCGATACGGTTTCGCTGCTGATATTTGGCCCCCCCCAGCAGGATTAGATCTTAACAAGAAACTGATTTTAGTGACACATTTTTGGACGCAGAATATTAAATGAAAACACGGGGAAGGCGTCCCCCTCATGTCTCAATCGATATTTGTTTCAGTGCTATTTTAAAGTTAGAATTTCCCCATATGTCCGTCCTCTCTCCCCCTTCTACCCCTGACCCTGTTCTCCTCGCTGGCTGGCTCCTTCTTTTGTTTGTGTGTTATCTGTGATATGAAAGTAATATCCAGGGACTCACAGTGGAATCCAGCCTGGCCTCTCCGTCCCTTGCGAGTAGCTGCATGGAGTAAGTGATACTCAGAAAGACTTTGGCTGTTAAAGCCACCACAGCAGTCAGGACAGACTGACTGTGTCCCAAATATACCGAGCCGCTTTCTGCAGTCATTAGAAGCCAAGTCACTGCTTCTCTCTCTCTCTGTAACTGGAAAGAAATTGCTGAGTTTGTTCTTTTTTCTATCTTTGGAAACATTTTTACATGCAGTATTTTAATAGCTTCTGCTTGAAGGGGAAACAAGAAAACTTTCAAGGACTCAAGTCGTTGAATATACAACTGTTTGTGTTCCTGAGCGACATGCATTTATCAGCTAGAGTTCATTTTCTGTATTCATGCCAGTCAAACCTACAAAATGGAGAGGCCATCTTTAAAAGTGTTTCCATGTTTTACTGTTTAATGAAATCAAAGCATTTGGAAACAGCAATGGTTTTAATGTCTACATAAAAGTAAACCTCCACAAACTCAAAAATCCGAACAGAATCTTATCCTGTTCCAGTAAAAATTTAGTAGGCACATTATGCAGCACCAACAGTTTCCAAAGTCTGAAGGGCTGCAGATTTTCCCCAGTATTCTTTGCAAAAACTATTCCAGCCCTGTAAAATTGCTTGGGGACCATGACTCAACAACAATTTGCAAGTCCTGCCCTAAATGTTCAATTGGATGGATTGGTGTGTTTCCTGACTTGACTTGAACAGGACGTCAACATCGCCGCTTTCAAGAAATTCCTGCATATGTTGGCTTGTCATCTTGTTGGAAAATAAGCAAGTTCAATTTTCATTCTTCTTTTTCCGCTCTGCCTTAAAGCTGCGATTGGTGATGCAAGCAACCCTGTAAATGCTTTACACAGGTGCTCGCTTGAACTGCTCACACGCACAAACGGCTGTGAAATGGGAGAAATTCTTAAAAAGTGGAAATTTTCTTGTACGGTTCACATATGTTATTTTATTTTATTTTTGAGTCACTGGTGCTTTCCACTGAAACCACATCTTGCTAAGACAATGGTGATCTCTTTCACCTATTACGCCTTTAGGGGCAGCTAACTGTGAACATGATTATTAATGGGTGTCATTACTGGAACGAGGTACATACTTATCCAGGAACTTTATTTTTGTGACCTAACATCATATGTATATAGTAGGTGCACTGGACAAGAACTAAAAGAAAACATATTTACGTCTATTTAATATATGGAAAACCCAAGACAACAGTGCATCGATGTGTCAAAGGTTGTAACCAATCAGCTAGCAATGCCATGGACGTGAGAATATGGCGACCGAGAAGCAACATGCGAGTTGGCACGCAACATAATACGACCCGCTTTTGTAGCCAAATTTGCAATTGTGATTTCATTTATTTTACAAATGCAAAAGCTTCTCATTTGTAAATGTCATTCTGTCTACAAGCCGCAGCTATGTCTTCTGACTTGAAATGTGATTCTACGCAGACTCCGATGGGCCAAGAATACTGAACTCCGCTGGCCCCTGTGTAATTAGTGCCCAGTGTACATGCTACTCATTCTGCCTGGCTAAACCTTAACACACTCCAGACTGGATGTCAACTTTGAATCCTAATTGCCTTAATTGTCCTCAGGTGACAAATACCTCTGGAGTAATTTGCCGTATTAAAGCCGTGGCTCAGGGGTCTTGACTTGTTAGTCACAATCCCTTCAGCAACACCTCAGTGCCCTTCGTTGCACAAGTCAAAACTTCTGAGTGGAGAAACTCTACCACTGTATAATTGCCCTGCTAACTCACATGCCATTCACAATAGGTGGCACTACAGTAGCAGAGCTGAAAACGGTATACTGCTGAGTTATGTTATTACCACCCTCCACCAACTCTGGCAAAAATGGTTTACATGCAGCTCTCGTCTCTTCAGCATGGTATGGAAAGCTTTATTGATTTGGTTTGCATTGATGAGAGGGAGGGTCGTGGTTTCCTGATGCCGTAGAGAACAAGAATAACTTTGTTAGAAAGTAGGCAATTAATGCTGTTGCCGTTCTCCTGCCTCAGGAAGCCGGTTCCCTTTGAAATTTCAAGATCCCCTGAACATACAGGATATTTACTCTATACAGGTTTGCTGCCCTTTGGATAGACCGTGCCGAATGAAAACACATCTCAAAAGGGCCTTTTGCCGCGAAACCTGCATTTTTGGACAACCTTGAAACTCAGCTGGAATGTTTAGCTTTCCCAGACCCCAAGCTGGAACTGCCTACGGTGATTGGCACGGAGACCAAAGCCACACCAGAGGGCAGAGGTTGGCCAGACAGAGCATAAAGAGACATGTAAGGCTGGTAGGCAAACAGACGCAGACCTGACGGAGCAGGATTATATCACACTGGCAGAGTAATTATGTTACCGTTTAATATAATCTGCTGAACACGTCTCAGGAAGAAGCACTCCTCTCATGTTATATTTCTATTCCTAGAGCAAAAAAAAACATTAATCTTTTCTACTTGGTTAAATTAATGGAGAGGCAAATAATACTTTGGGAGTCTAAAGCCATAAAATCGCAGCTTCCTCTACTACTAGCGATCCAGAAGGGTAAGGTAGCACACAATCAGCTGAAACACAAGATAGGCTTAGGCTGAAATCCAATAAGAGATGTTGTGTGGGGAGCGACTCAGACAGAATAATCAGCTTCAGACTGGGCAGCACTGGTGAGGCTGGAGTATTTGGGTGGACGGATGAAAGAGCATCTGAGGTAGTTGTCAGTTCAATAATTTGTACTGTCGCTTACTGAAAGATTTTTTTAATGATCAGCTTTTTTTTCATAGCTTTAGTTTTACAAAGATATTTCATGAGATTGGAATAGGCGGTTAAGAAATGGCAGAGTGATTGAACGTGTGTGTGTGTACGGAGAAGGTGTGCGCCATGTGTGTGCGCTGTGGCCGAGTTAAAAAGGGAATCAAAATAACTGCAGCCAATCAAAGACTACGGTGAGCTTTGAGAGCTTGCCAAGGCTTTTGACGCTGTAACTGGTTAAGGATGTGGCGACATGTGATAACACACTGTGCTCCCATTCCCTTCCTATTAACACATGACCCCTGCTTGTGTTGTATTAAAGATACAAGACACTTTCTCTTTCGCTCTGAAATAGCTGTTAATGACTCACTAAATCAAAGAGCGCAATAAGAAGCAATGAGTACACAATCACAGGAGCCCTGCTCAGTCAAGATCGCTAAAGAAGTTTTAACTGGGCTGTAAAACACGCTGATCATATCTCGGGACATTATCCAACAACCCAAAGTTAGCGTATGTGTCTGTGAACAGCACTTCTAGCCGTCTGCTTTCCAAATGATCTATCTCCAGAAGGGCTATATCAGCTCCCCGTGGTAATCATAATATGGGGCGCTTGGCTGTGCACCACTGTACCAAAGTGGCCATAAATAATAGGATACGCAACATCATGTCATTGATTATCAAAGTTCCCTTGATGATGAATCTGGCATGGAGATAAAGTCACCCTTTATAGATAGTGGACCAGGGAACCAATATTTAATGTCCACACCAAATAGGCTGGCATGAAATGATTCAAAACAGAGGCATACTGGGAAATTCTCATCTTCAAGATCACTCATTTATGCTACACAGACACTTAAATGCAAGTATTGCAGTTTAGAGGGAAATTTGAAGCAGAGGAGCGGCGTAGCTTTAAATTCCTTCAAACTGGACAGAGATGGTACAAAAACAATACTGTAGCTCCTAATCTAATCACACTTTACACTGAGCTATTGCTACATTTAAGCATTTTGCTTTGCTTTTTACTCTCTTAATTAAACAATCTGAGGATTTCTTCCACCGCTGCCTGCCAAAAGGAGATGACAGTGGTCTTGGTAATCACTATCACTAACTTCCTGCACTTTACGGTTTCTTTGGATACCAAAAAATTAAAAACAAACAACTGGAAAAAAAAAAATACAAGTATAAAATATCCGCACCATAAAAGTGCAATTCTTTTCAAATGGGATCATCCAACTGGCTGACTCTCTCGCTGCCACACTCCTGCCACTTAGTGAGAGATCAGTTCACCACACATGAAACGCAGCACTGTATCCTAAAACAAATATCAGACTGTGAAAAGAGCTGAAGTCTTGCCACTTCAAATTTCAAGAGTTGCTTTTGTTGGCGTTTGATCTGAGAACTGAAGCAGAGTAGCATAATTATGTACACACACACACACACACACCAAAATCTCTCCTCCTTCCATTGGTCAGCACTTTGAAGACAAGATTGCGTCTTGCCCAAAACACCCGCTGCAGGACGAGTACGAATAAAAAGCAACATAAACTCTAAGCCCTGAATGTACAGCAGTGTTTTATCAACTGATGGTTCAAACTTGAGAGCTGCAGTTTGTATCTGAATTACAACTATCCAAATGTTATCACTTTAGATAAAAGTTGTCCAGAAATGAAATATCCTGCAGTTAAAAAAGACCATTCCAGACCAGCAACATCATCTTTGCTTATGTTGTTCAACAGTCTGGTAAAATGGTCATCAACAGCTGCAGTTGCAAAATAAGATAGTCGACGTCCTCTGCCAATGTGCTGCAGACGGTAAAATCTCATGACACAAGCCTCGTTCCAGACTGCTGACACGCTCGCTAGACCGAGCTCCTTCCGTTGTCTTTGAGAGCTAACTACTGCTTGCAACGGAACCGGCATTCTCTGTTGCTAGTAGTGACACCCTGCTAAACAAACATATCAAGTGGTTTGGATGCACCTCGAGGTATGTTTCCCACTCAGCTATCTGTTGCTCTTCTCGGAGTTACAGCTTGCAGACTCAAACTGGACGACACTCAAGTAGCCACCAACTTGCATGACTTTATTGCAGAAAGAATTCTAGCCTGCATATACTATAGACACAGTCGTACTCTAAAGTATGGCCACCGCTGGGTAGACGACACATTTTGTTGATTTCTGGGGGGGTAAAAATATCTAACTAAAACAGGAAACTGTTACTTTTGACTCCATGAAAAAACATGCACAAACATTCAGGCTCCCTTTACTGGCAATGTTTCAGAGCTTCTTTAAGAATGAAGGTCAAGAATTGTCATTAAAACATATCAGATGATGACAGTCCCAGAGCTGATAAACTCTGATTCTCCAAACACCCATAAACTCCTCTAAGCATCTGACTGAGGATCTAAAAACGAAGCTAATTGTTGCCTGCAAAGCCGACAAAAGCCATAAAACATATTCAGATATTGCAGCTTGCAATTTTCACTGTCTGAAATATCATTAAGAAGTGGCAGCGAAGGGGAACTGCAGAAGTCAGAGCAGGTTCTGGAAAGACAACGTGGAGGTCCAGCTGGACGAAACAGGAAGAACCAAAGCCTTACCTGTGACCTCATCACAAAAGTCAGCATTTGAAGCATGCAAAGCAGCATCAGGACAAGCCAGAGTTGTTGTGTAAACAAGAGCTTTGGACAGATGAGATTAAAATGGAGCTCTTTGGCCACAATCCACAAAAGTGCATTTAAAAGAAAAGAAAGCTGAACAGAATTAAACCAAAAGAACACAACTGTTAAGCATAAGAAAATGGATTTATAAACTTCAAATATATATGACTATTGAAACTGTGCACACAGGAGAAACATAATGTGATGAGTTAAAAGTGACTAAGTGTAAAAATATGCTTGCAAATAACATTCAAGCAAAATCAGCAAAGCTGAACCAAATCCTAAACACATTCAAATTGAATTTTGCCTGCAAACAGATTGGGAACCAGTGTTTATCCTCATAAAATAATGTTTCCCTGAGTGTGCAGCAGGAAAGCACATTCCATTAAACCTTCAAGGCATTTGGAGCTGCTTTCAAGCATCGCTGACAAAAATCCAACAGACACAGGACGAATTTGAGAATCACTCCATAAACCTGCAAAAGACTCTTTATGACTCTTGTAGACGTGTGGAAAACATATTCTCATAAAAATATACCTTCTAAGTTCATGTGCATGTAGGTTTTGGGGGCTCAGCACCCTGTGTTTCTAAAAACACATGACCACAAGAGCTGCTGATGACCGACTTCTGCAAATCAGCACGGCAAATCGTTCACTCCTCCTATTGTGGACGCGACGTTGCAGCCTATTTATCCACAGAGATTAAACCTTATGATACCATCTGCATCACACTGGGCCCTGCTCTGGTTCAAAACCCCCTGCCTCAGCAGCTTTTGAATGTGCTGGGCAGCTTCTCTGCCAAAAGAAATTTGCTAAATAATTGTTTAATCTCTCTAAACAGCCCACATGTGATAAGCAGCTGGGTGGCATGTGAAGCTGCAAAACTGTGGAGGAAAAAAAAAAAACAAGAAGCTCTGATGTTTCACAGGACTGGTTGCATTCAACATTAAACATGGAATATTAGACACTAATGCAGAGAAGTTTATTTGGGGGAGGGACAAAAAAAAGCTGCACAATTATGGACAGATTTCTCAATTTGATGGAGATGAGCTGCCAAACATGTTAAGTCACATCTCACTGACTTTGAGATAAGCTTTCATTTTGTAGCATATAGTTTAATATACAACATATATTATGATGAAAAGTCTCTTTTAGCACCATGACCAACATGATGGGAGGCAGCATCTGTTACCTCCCTCTCGGACTCACTTGAGTAAACTTACTTTTACTCTTTAAGAGTGTGCGCACTGATCCACTGGTGCTTCGTTAAAAGACAAATAACTTGGTTTACATGCTGTTTTTTTTAATGACTACAATTGCAGTTCACAACAAAATGCACTTCTTAGCGACCACCGATGATGCTCCAGCACAAAGTTCTCCCCCCACTAGGAATGCCAAACCTCCCCTCCGCTCACCTGTGCCAGGTGTCTCCGGTACGCGGTGCAGCGGTCCGACCTGCCGCAGCTGGAAAGCGGTCCTCACTTCATGACAGCTGTACGCGTCCGCGCCGATCGCCGCAAACACGACCACCAGCGACAAAATCCAAAAGGATCCGCAAGAGTTTACGCGTGGGCATGCTCCTCGGGACATTGCCGCATCTCACACCAGGTATCCTTGTGGATATCCTACTGCAACCTGACTGCGAGCTGTGGGACAGTGTTGGAAATAGACGGCGCTCAAGTGTGATGAAGCGACGATTAGTTTGAACATCTGACAGTCCTTTTTTTTTTTTTTTTCTCCCCCGTCTGATTTTCACATTATTGGTTGGGATGAGTGGGGGTGAGCGCCTCACAGTAGAGGTTTTGGGGGGGTTTCTTCTCTTGGACAGATGAGGAGTGCTGTGGGGCTAAACCGGCTCTGTCCCGCGCTCAACACTTTGCAGCGGTCGACTGCCTGCATGCCTGTTTCCAAAGCCCTGCGCACACTCCCCTCCCTCTCTGTTGACTTCAGCCAGGCGCCCTCTCTGAAACTCTCCACAATACCCCTATAGGGAGTTGCACTGTCAGTGTCCTAATGGCAACATTCAAAACCCACAACTCCACTATTTCTGCTAATATTATCAATTAAAAAAAATAAAAATCTACAGCTCATTTTATATATTTTACACTTGCATCATATTTGCAGGTTTTCCAGTGACTCACCTTCAACTATATTTATCTTTTCTTTTCTGTAACCAAGTATCCTGAATCCTAATATTGCTTTCAACTTCTTTCCAGTTGCTGTCAAGTAATCAACAGTTAGAAGAATGAATGAATAAATAGATTGCAAGCCAGCACGTTTTAATTTCTAAATGTGTATGAAGGACTGAGTTGAAGAGAATTAGATGTTAGTTTTAAGACATGCTGATTGTTGAGTTTCACTTCATTCTACCTGTATTGAAGATTGAAGGATTTTGGCTCTGCTATTTAACTTACATTGGCGCCATCTTCTGGTCAAACGTGTTGAGTAGCTGCCTGTTGTGGGATCAAACTGATTCTGAATAGCTAAAATATATAAGAAAAAAAAAAAAAGAGCGACTGTAACTTGTGATTTAAATTCCATTATCACATCATGAGTTGGTGTTTTGTAATTTAGATGCATGTCAGGTGTCGAATCCTGGTCCTCGAGGGCCGCAACCCTGCATGTTTTAGATGTTTCCTTCTTCCAACACACCTGATTCAAATGATCAGCTCATCATCAAGCTCTGCAGAAGCCTGATGACGATCCTGATCATTTGAATCAGGTGTGTTGGAAGAGGGAAACTGTAGCTGCACAGGTCTAACAAAAAAGGCCACGCTTCGTACTGATGTCAACGGAGGTTTATTCTTAATTCTTCTCTGCTTGTCTCTTCGGCAAACACCGCGCAACACCGTGAAAACTAGACACAATAAACAAATGCACATTAAAAAACAGACATTTGTGGATCTTTCAGTCTCTAAATCATACCACATTATACATGAAATATAAACCAAAGATAATTACCATTTGCGCCTCTTAAACCACATGCAGAATGGCGATAACTTCTATTAAGTGTCTCTGTTGCCTGCCCATGCCGATTGTGACCCACAATGCTGCTCTCTTAACCTTGCTAAAAGTTAGTCATGTGACCTGACTTGTCAAAATAAAACTCCGACACATCGTACCCAACTTCTTAACTAAACTGGACCTTAAAGCGACCTATTTTTTAACAATCTGTTACAGTTGTACCCTTTTCAACCCATTACATTCTTCATCTCAGTTCTCAATTATATATGAACAGCAAAACAATGAACTGACAATCAAACACAAACCAAACACACACCACAACCTGTCTCTTAGACAGTTACAGAAACATCTAAAACATGCAGGATTGCGGCCCTCGAGGACCAGGATTCGACACCTGTGCTCTACAGATTTAGTAAAACATGCACCGATAAGAGGGCAGAAAAGGACGTGCCCCCGTGTGAAAATCCAAATTTACTGTCAACTGCACACATAAAACATTCTAACAGTTTAATTCACCTGCACTCAAGTGTTTTCCAACAAAGACATGTTTTCTTATGCATTAAGTATGGAACGTTTGCAATAACTTCAGAATGTCACCATAATGTTATGTAATGTAAACCTACTAAAGCAACATTTTATTTTTTATTTTAGTAATTTCCAACAAGGGCTCAATTAAAATATCAGTTATCGATCACTATGATAGACATGCACCCTCTCCTGGACATACAGGGTACTACAACAATCACACAGCAACGATTTTGTTGTCTGTTAAGCATAGACTGTATAAAAGATGGACGTAGCAACCGGCCCTGAAAAATGAAGCCAACCCGGAAGTGTCAAAAACCTGCAATATCACTACGTCCGCTAGTCCTGGCTCCAAAAAGCCCTGGCTCCCATAGACTTGAATTGGAAAAGAAGTGATCACAGATCATGAAACACTGCATTCCTACAGCTCGGGATTTTTTAAAAATTCGTTTTCATGGTCAAGTCCAGAGATCAGGTGGCCAATCTGAAAATAAATCAATACTGAATTTTTTAAAAATCATCAACATTTTGCGGGGCAAGGGGCGTGGCTGGCTTGATTGACAGTCGGCAGCGACCATACAGACGAAGCGAGCAGAAGGCGGTAAATGTGGGCGGGCAGAGAGGTGCTCCTATGGCTCCGCCCCCCTCCGACGATTTTTGCATCACTGGCTCCAAAAATCCAAGATGTCAACCAGGAAGTAGCAAAACCCTGGCTTCATTTTCTCAGTGCAGAAACCAACGGGTGACGTCACGGTAGCTACGTCCATCTTTTATACAGTCTATGCTATTAAGCTGCGATATTATAAAAAAGTGGTGGATTGGGGCGGGTTTATCGCCAGTGTAGCTGTTCCACAGGCCGGCTACAGCCATCACTTTCATTCCTTATTCTTCTATGAATTCTTCTGTGATTGTGACATGTTTCTATAGACTTTGTTGTGTGCTGTAGGTGAATTAGAGAATGAGGCTTGTTTTATGTTTCACTGTCCTGTATGCAAAGATATAAAGGAGGTACTCTTCAGTAAAATGCCTGATTTCTTTTGATTGGACGACCATGAAAAATCTGAGCCATGTTTTGGAAGAGGAACCTTGTGTTTTGGATGTATTGCTGCAATGCTAGTATACTGGTGTCTTGTAAAGCTAGAGGGTTGGGCACGCTTGGGTGCATGACACGAAGATAAAGAACTCAATTAATCAATCTACATAATGTTGAAGGCATGCGAAAGCCGCTATAGTCGACACAGATGTAGTCGATGTTGACGGTCCTTATAATGAATACTGAAAACCTTTATTCATTAGCATCTGCAGCTACAGACAGAGTTGCACTACACAAGGTGGCGGCTGTCAACCAGTCCCTCTTCCACACCGTTTGTCGTATTTAACGATCCTTTCCATCAATTCTCCTTTCAGTTGAGTGAAAAACTTTTTTTTTAGATTCAACTCCTGTGTCACAAGTAAGGCTGCGGCAGCACCCTCGAGCCACAGCATCTCCATTTATAGACTATTTGTCTAACAGTGGGCTGATAAATATCTAGAGTCTCTGAGATTACTTTGTAAGTCTTCCCAGCTTCATGCAAGCTGACACGTATTGATAAGCCGTCTGAGATCTCTTTCTGTGCAAAAGATGTTTCACGTCTGCAGAAGCCTCTTGTGAGTAGCAAACTCAAAATGTCAATAGGTTTGTTTTATATATAGGTCAAAATAGCTCCAGCACGCCTCCAATTTTGTCTCAGTGATCCGACTCCAGCTTTTCCAAACCCTGGCACCGGTTAGCTTTAACTCGCCTGCAGTTTCTTTTTCTAGCATACACTGTAAACGTTAGGTATGCTCAACACGCACAAGAACCAACTAACTACTTGTTTATTAGTTAAAAGTATATTCTGTTTGTTAATAATTGTAACCTATATAAAGGTCTGACCATACTAGATTATGCCAAGGGGTAGCTTCCTTTTTCTTGTCTGTGTAATCTGACTAACGTAGCTCATAATTCTGATTCACTGATTCTATTATTTACAACAGCAGATTATCTCGGTGAGGGAGGCACGTGACCCCTAATGGTGACTGAAGATTTAACCTCTACAAGACAGATCAAAGCGCTCTGTCAAAGCTTAGAGACACAATCAGGATTGAATCATCACGCTGGTTTTGTATAGCATCACGAAGAAAAACAGGCTATTTAAGATATGAAGCTCAAGCTCAAAGTGGCAGACAGCACAGGACAGTCCCTGACATGATTCATATAAAACAGGCCACCCTCGTGCCTAATTTTAACCAGACAATGTAGTACATGTATATATATAGCGCGTCTGGGCTTAGTCTCCACGTACCTGAAGGGGGCCCCTCAGCAAAAACTGTAGCACAGAAAATGCTGCATTCAGTGCCCCATATTCTCAGTTTTTATACCATTCCTGGAACATTTTCTCGGTCAGTCTGAACGCCTTAAACATGTTCTGACAGCACAAGAACAAAGATTTCGGTAAGATCAGCAACACCTGAAGTTGAGGAGAGGGCATATCAGAACTAAATATCGTGCCACAGATAATAATTTGCCAAAACTATTGCCGTTTAAAGTGCAGCTACTTTATAAGTATTTTTAAAAATGTCTGATTTTCTTCCCTTGACACCTACAAAGACATCTGCCAGGTGCAATATGAAAGTATTCTGCTGGATAAGAGATCTGTTTTTTGCTTTCACAATTTTGGTAGCTGGACTTGAATCTGCACGACTCTAATTACTGTAATATTAAACATGTTGAGCGTTATTCCTGAGGAACTAGAAAATATTTGTGCTGCCTCTGGAGAGTAGAAAAAAGCTCCAACCAGCCAAACTCCATGACTGCTGGCATATGCAGTGATTAAAAACGATGTGAAAACAGGCATTGAGGACTTCTATGGAAATGCAGACTGACAGCATGGAAACAAACAGGAGCCTGATGTTGAATCTGTCACATAAATAAGAAAGTTTAAATTCTCCACATATGGTGTGGTGGCTTTGAAATTACACACATATAGCATGAACTGAGAATTCATCCACCTGGTTCTAATATCCTCAGATATTTTGCATGATTACTGCAAAGCAAAATTTAATTCTCTAAAGCAAAAAAAAGGCACAAACAGGGGTATAATGAATTGCATAACACTACTTCTGGCTGGCGCAGCAAAATTCCATAGTTGGTCGACGTTTAGCTTAGCTTGATATAACTCACAGGAGTTGTTAACAAGGTTACAATGTTTGGTTTTACCTGGCCAAAGAATAAGAGCATAGACTGTTTAAAAGATGGACGTAGCTACCGTGACGTCACCCGTTGGTTTCTGCACTGAGAAAATGAAGCCAGGGTTTTGCTACTTCCTGGTTGACATCTTGGATTTTTGGAGCCAGTGACGCAAAAATCGTCGGAGGGGGGCAGAGCCATAGG